CTGGCCCAGCCCTAACCCATGACAGCTTTATACAACAATCCATGAGAGGCACAACTCTGAGACATCACCACAGGCACTCAGTACAAATAAAACTATAAATGCCCTGCGTGGCTGATCCTGATCGCCCGTTTCCCATCTGCAGCACAACAGAGCATGCAACAGTTGCAGAACAGAGCCACCTTCTCCTGAAGGATAGTAGTGTCCTCACCAGTATTTCTGCTGTGTGATAAGAGATCCAGAATAACCTTCTGTATATTCAGATGATGAACAGAGCTCAGACAGAAACCCTGGCTTTCTAGCAGGTTACACAGGCTTGGCAAAATGCCTTGCAACAAGCAAGCAAATTTCCTCCAAGAGAATCAGAGAGAACCCAAGCTCTTGCAAGGCCGTACGCTTAACAGGCATTTGCCAGAATATCTCTACTTCTTCCCCAAAGCAAAAATCTCAGTTGTCAGAAAATGTGACATTCCTGAGGGTCACTGAGGAGGGTCAGTACCCCACAGAAAAAGACTTGCTTTCAACACAAGATGAATGCAACTGCTTTTCGAAACGGTCTCCCCATCACAACCTCAGGAGTCCCTGCCATGAAGGACCCATATTTTTGTAGGAAGGCAGGCAGAGGAGTCGAACAAAGTGTGTTTTGAAATCAACCAACAGAATTTCACGAGAATGAGTTTCCTACAGCACATACTTCACTTTTAAAAGCTTATGAAGTTCCTGAGTGCTGGGGTATTTTTGAATTTGAAATTCTACCTTTAAAAACTTACCCAATGCCATCTCCTAGTCTTAGATTTGCTATGGTTTTTCATCCATATTTCTTGGTGCTACTCTAACAAGAGTACATATTTTACCACTAAAACACTAACTGCTGGCAACTTCCAACATTCTTCCAGGAAATTTGAGAATATTACATGATGTCTAACTTTCACAAGGGAGATTTTAAGTATTCTGGCTCACTCTATTACTACCACACGAAATAAGCATAAAAAGAATACTCCCCTCAGGAACAGCTTATAGAGAAGCTGGGAGAGGGAGACATGGGGAAAAGAAAAAAAAACAAAAACAAAAACAACCCCCAAACCCTGCTTTGCTATCCCAACATCACAGAAGTTGATACAGTTTCAGATGGCTAGTGGTTGACACTCTCTAATAATCTCATTACAGCAGGAGTCATGCCACAGTAGTAAACAGAAGCATTCAGAACTGTTATTAGCAAACATGCAAGTGCTACAGGCAAGGTGAGGAGTTCAACAGTTGAGATGACTATAGACTACAGGAGCAGAATTCAAAGCAGCATGTTTGTGCCAGAGGTAGAATATTTAACTAGGACTACTCAGGACACTGAAGGTGATCAATTAACAACAAAAGATGACAACAATAACATCATGTTCAAGCCAGAAAACTGAATACAATATTCTGTCCTCTCAGCGGCTAAAAGTTTTAAGGTAGACTGTGCCAGTGCTTGTTGAGGCATCGTCCTTTCTACAGACAAGACATCTACAAGCCAGTAAGACAATCTGTGTCATCTTGGCTATCTACATTGCTTTGGTTTACTTAACTTTACCTGGGTAACTGCTGAATGAGACACGGCCGGTGCTGGTGTCTGGATCAACTATATTGAAGTTCCAATGCTTATATATTCTCAAGGTGGCCGCATAAGTGAACCAGCTGGAATGGGCAAAATATATATTCTCATATCCAGGTAGAACCTGGAAAACAGAAGCAGAAAGATTAATAATTTCAGACCCTACATGTTTCATATTTCATAGAAGCTGGGAGAACAACTTGTTTTAAGTAGTTTGATTGACTGCATTGTTCAAGAAGTAGCAGATTCTTAAGCTTTTAAGTGTGTATTTAACAATGAATTTCTGAAACCTCTGGAAATAACTCCTTGACCATGTGTTGTTTGCAAATAATTAGCTGTTATTTTTCAAAATGAAACAGCTTAGTTTTTTTTGGGACACTTGCACCACATGGTACATTTTGTTTCCAGTTTCCTCTTGAATACTTTGTGTTTACACATTTAGATCCGCACTCTTCAAATATACCTAACTTTAACTTCAAACATGCTGTTTCTGTAAAAATGCTTCTGGGTGACTTTTAAGCACAGAAACAAATGCAAGTAAATTCAATTTGAAGAGGTAAATATATATATGTGATCAGCAATACATCTTCTCAAACTATTTCCCTCTTGCTATATGCAAATTCTTGAATGAATGCTTCTCAGTTTAGAGGTGAATACTGTTAACTCTGGGATACATGAAGTCTCCATATGGTGACTAGATTCCTGATAATTTTAACTGAAAAATTGCCACTACAATATATCAGACACTTACTTTAACAGCATTTTTTCTGTTATTACTGCCACTGGAAAACCATTCCAGAGTATCACTATTAACGTTTAGAAAACATCGGCCACGTGCACTCATTTCTTCTTTTACTAGCACTGTCCTTGAGTTTAAGCAACCCCCCTCCCTTTGTCCCCTCTTATTTGCTCAATGTATTTTTAGACATTCACAAGAGCCCCCTTTCAGATTTCAATCGGCTAGGTGAAACAAGTTACTCCCTTCCAGGCTCCCCTCCAGGGTAGTTCCCCACTCTCTAATAATTCTACCAGCTTTTCATTGCCAATCTCGGTAGTTTTGTTTTGGTCGGTTTTCTTCTCTGTCCTTGAACACAAGCATTCAAAACTGGACCCAAAACTCCACGGTAGCACAGAAGATATCTGTGTAAAACCACCTTGATTGACAAGAGTCTCTCTATGCACATGCAACACCAGTGAAGACTCCAGAAATGCAAACTCATGACACTGCGAACCAACAGTCACTGGAGATGAAGTTTTTGGTGCTCACCTTGATGAGCGCAGAGCAGTGACCCATATCCCACTGATACTTCCCATGGCCTCCTGGCTCCGTGTTGCATTGTCCACTTCGTGCAGAATACTCAAATAATGCAGGAATGAGGTCCAACAGGTCTCCAACCGCATTCAGAAACTGGACATCAAAGATGCTCAGCGGCTGAGGAAAGAGAGAAAAGAGAGACCACAAAAAGCACTTTCAGACAGAGAAGTGTCCAAAGACAGACTCAGCTGCTAGAATTTTTCTCTTGCTCTCAAAGGAAACTCTTATATGGTCTATAAAGTACCTGCTCACAAGGCCCAAACACTCAAACGCAACGTGGCATTAGGCACCTTGGCATCTTCAAGGGTCTAGCCCTTGTAGTGTCATTACCAATGCTGATATTTCAGAGGAAAAAAAAAAAAGAGATGCCAGCAGTAACTTACGAAACCTCTGTGTGTCTTTACAAACAGCACACCAATCAGTCTGCTGGCACTGTTACACTGAGGTAACAGTATGATTTAATAGTTTTGAAGAACCTTACAATAACAAACACACTTGGGAGTTTTCGGATTTTTACCAAGACTGCAATTGAAGACATCCTCAGGGCTGAGGAGGAAGAATCAAGTGAGGAGAGCAAGATATGTTAACAATACAAATCAAGCATGGAACTAGCTGAAGAAAGGAAGCCATTCAAAAGGCATTCCACTATGTGCTTTCAGAAACCCCTTATGACTGGAGCTAGCCAGGGTTAACTACACACAGCTCATTGTGCAACATGCTCTTCAGAACCTTTTCTTAATTTGCCTCTTAAAAAATAAAAGCTTAACAGTGGTCAAAGACTGTTTTCTAAATCCTTCCTGTTCTTGCTTGCACCATTCCTTTGTTAAGGAAAGGCTTAAGGAAACAGTCAGAACTCACCTCACTGTAGGGCTATGAAGAGTCATTTTTGAATGGGACATAATCATGTAGCAGAGAAACACATTGCTTGCAATATAAATCACTGTTACTGAACCATACAGCTGAACTCTCTATAAACATTGATAAAGAGGAGACAAGGACTTGAGAAAAAAATACACAGTGCCAAATCCATTTAGTTCTTACTCAGAAGGCTGAATTCTGCGTCCTCCATCTGTTGCTGGGCAGAGAGAATAACCAATGGAAAAACCAAAAATAATGTAAACTCTAGTCCATATATCCTAGGGGAAGGAATTAAGCCTTCCCACAATGCTTACCAAGACAAGTGAGAGAAAAAAAAAAGCCATCACTGCAACTGAAATAACACATCACAGAACAACCTAACAGCAGCTATAGTTCAACCAAGCAAACTTTTATATATATGGTCACACTGCTTTAGCTCATCATGTGTTTGCTTTAAGGACCCAAACAGGCAACAGCAAATACCACAACTGATGAACATCACAAGATGTATCCTTGGATAGTTTTAACTCAGTGGTAAGAATCATTTACAAACCACGCCCAGCAACTGCTATCTCACTGGAACCCATACAGAGGAACTTGGCACTATTTCAGCACAATTCCCCACCCAGCTGCACTTCAAGGTCTGCAAGCCCACCACACAGTAACAAGTTGTCTTCCAACATTCAATTTTTACAGACATTATTGTACCACACCACCAGGAGAGAAGCAAACAGGATTGCATACGAGAATGTTCAGCTACCCTCGAGATAATTTTAATTGTACTTGCCATCCATTTGCTAACACTCCATATTCTCCTCCACAAAACTTGCCTTCATTGCAACATCTCCAGGTAGCTACAACTGATACTGCCGCAGCATTACTTGGAACCTTAAAAGCTTCACATTTCTGTGCTAACTTACAGTCATTTCAAGTCAAAAATTCAATAATGCACTAGGCAGTCCACTCAAGCTAGAACAAAGCTGCCAAGTAAGAAAGCTATCGGAACTATACACACAAAACGGTGGCCAGAGACCAGGAGGAAAGACCCACTCAAATAATGAAGTAAAGGCTATGTAAAATCCTAGAGCTCCACTGTGTGAGAATAGGCTGCCAGCTCCCAAAACCAGCCAAAGTATCAGAGAAGTAAAAGAAAAACTGAGGGGCGAGCAAATTTTGTTCCGGTTAATTTCCAAGAATTTATTGTTCTGCTTGGATAGATCTGGGTTTGTGTTTAAGACCGTCTGATGCTCAGTGACATCACACAGTCACGGTGCACAGAGCTTCTGTGAGTCCCAAAGATACAATGCATTTAAGGAGAAGACTTGGGTGTCAGCAATGCAGGCCAAATCTGGGAGTCCCAGGAGCAGCCTGAGGCATCTCCCACAAGGCTGAGAGCCCCAGTTTGGGAAGAACTACAGCTGATTTCCAGGATATACGGAGAAATCTTCAGTATGAAGAGTTAATCGGGGTCCACTAGCATGATTTAGGACAAAAAAAGCATGCATCGTAACAAGTACGTAACGGAGGGTACATTCAATCTTTTGGAATCACCTTTTCCCATCTCACAGAGCAATGTCAGGAAAACTCCTTGCATGCACAGTTTACATCCTGAAGAAGAGTGAATGAATGAGCTAAACTGGCAAGCTGAGAGGCGGTATAGCCATGACAAAGAGAAAAAAGTCATTTTGCTAGAATGTGTGACTCCTCCAGGGTACCATCCTGAATAGCAAAATTAAAAATAGGAAAAAAAACCCCAAACTTAGAAAAAGTAGATAGGAGAGATGCAACCTTAAAGGCTTGTCTATATGGGACGTTAAAACAGACAAGTTATTCTTTAACAACTGTTTTCCTGTAACTTCTCTATGCATGAGCATTCTCAATACAAAATAAGGAAGTACGAGTAGAGAGCTGTCCTAGAATCACTGTAGTATTTAAAACTGACACCTCCTTATTTCAAGAGTAATTTCCCTGTGTAGACAAGCCCAAGATTAATCACAGCGTTGGTAGAGCATTAGGGAGATGAAAAGGCTTAATGTCCTTTGAGTGCCCCTCCTTCCAAAATTGTCTTGACAAAAGGGTTGGGTTTGTTTACTGGATATAAAATGTTGCTAAACCAGATGAAATAATGTCACACTTCAACATGAAAATGTATTCAGATTTTGACATCATTCTTAACGATACTGCAAACATCAAAGTCAAAATACAAAAGTTTACATATATAGACCTTAATGGAAGCACGTGTCTAAAATAGTTCTGTAGAAAACAAGATTCCACGTAACTAAAAAAAAGGTTTAGAACAGTACACTACAAAACATAATAAAACATATGGACTAGTACTACTATCAAACAGCTCAGGGTCCAAACCAAATTCTCTTTCTGAAGTAAGGATCAGTTACTTGTGGCAGAGACAATGGTTCTATAATACTCAGGTGAAACAGACTTGACATTTAAGGGAGAAAATTAAAACAGAACATTTCGGAGTGACCTCTGTGAGCATAATCCACCTCTCATTTAAGCACCGTGTGGATTTGGCACAGCTTCAAACTACCATGCATCATATAACAGAAAGTCAGATCTTTTCAGTCTTCTTCCTCAAATAAGTGCACATCAGTTAATCCACCAAATGTAAAATTCCAACAGCTTGCAAATTTGAAAAGGTACATACAGTGCCGATAGGAAACTCTGACCCATGAAATGTGTAAAATTAAAAGCAGATTAAGTATCAAAACAGCTTGTTTCCATTCTTCTGAAAAGGAAACAATTTTATTCAACTTTGCCCAGTGCTCAGTGTCAAAATCTACAGACTTTGTCAACAGTTCCTTTTCCCCATCCCCTTTAGATCTTTTGGCCCATTCTTGTCAATCAACCAACTTCTCGGTCTTCAGGAAAGCAATCTGTCCATGTCTGAGAGTTCACCACAACGGGAATAAGAGGGGAGTGAATTTAAGAACTTGGAAATCCATCTCCTCCTCCCCTTCTCTTCACCATGTCTCTGATCTTTTGGGAGTTAAGCAAAAAGGCTTCCCAGCCTTTCCTCTGCAGTGTTCATTCTTCTTTCAAGCTTATGGCAGCAGGGGGAAATTGCCTTCTGCACATACAGAGTTTCAGTTTAGAAGTACAGTTTTTCCCAGTAGCAGTTAAAACGTCAGGCAACAAAATACAGACCATCACATGTTGGTTTTTGGTTTGGTTTTAGTTGGCTTTCTGGTGTTTGGTTTGGTTTTTTCCTGGGGGTGGTTTCTGGTTGTTTTCCGTAGTGTTTGGGTTTTTTTGAGGGGGGTGATAAAAAACAAAAGTAAAACACCACAACCCACACACATGATTTTCTCTGTATTTCTAATGTTCATTACACCATCATGAATCCAAACTACTGCACCACTAGAGAACAAAAGATGAACTTGTTCACGATGATAATAATCCTAAAACAATATACATATAGAAAAAAAATCTTTTTTTTAATGAACCACAAGTACTATGTACCAAAGATAAGAAGCATGAAGAGACTCCCAAAGCACCAAGGAAAACAAGCAGTAGGAATGGGATTTGCTTTTAAAAACGTGCAGAATTTGTTGAGGGGGCTTTCAGTAACAGGTTTCTTTAATAATGGAAATAGTAAATACTTGTTACTGCAGCTGCCCAGAGGAAAATCAAAACATTGGATGAATTGAACTGAAGTATAATACATAGGAATAGCTAAAAATTTACTAGATTAATTTATTTGCCAAACATTTATTTAATCTCTTAGATTGTTAGTAGAAAGTACCTTTTAAACATTCTTATAACACGTACTACAACAGCAAAGTTGAAAATAGCCTCTTTGAAAGGCAGATGTTTTTTGATCACAAGGAATAAGTATGCTACTGTCAGTTCTCTTGAGGTTTTTTGTTAGTTTGGTTTTTTAAGTGTGACATTTTACTGAAGCTGGGTTGATTCTCAGGTAAGTGGACATGTCAAAACTAGAATACTAGTCCATAACATTGTATCTGCACCTAGTTTTACTGTCCCTGTAAGCTGCAGCAACCATCTCCAAGCTCTTTATTTCCTGAAGGGGATCCTAATAGCAGTAAATACGTACACAAAGAGCACTGCTGTAGCCTCTTAACCCACTATTTGGAAAGTAGCACGGTAGCCAACAAAGTGAACTGCCCATACTTTTGCAGAGCTGGCAGGTATCATTTTGACGCCAAGCAAAACCAAAACCTAGGTCCAAGAGTAGCTTTCCAAACTATACTGACAGGTAAGAGACTACTGTTAACCTATTAGCTCTGGCAAGCAAAGGAAACCACAGAACCATCTCAAGTGAGAAATACATCACAGGGAACACTTTTGCTCTGAATAAAAAGATATGGATCTCAACATAGCTGATAACGCCCAAAGCAAAAATTGCAAATGGCACAGAAAGGAGTCAAAACAAATCCCACCAACTGCTCTAGGCACATTTGGGAAAAATATATCCACTGCAAGTAATTTGGGAATAGAGGACATAAATATTTCAGACTGAACTAGTCTGAACTTCCAGTAAATACTGATGAGATCTCTGAAAGAACATAAAAATGACTCAGTCACTTCAGTGGTCACTGCTTTCTAGTATCAAATACACAGTTAAGGAAGTATTCAGCATATACTCCCTGATACATGTGGCAGGGAGGACAAGCCTATAAAGAAGCTCAGACAGAAACTAGCACTTTCCCCTCCCCCCACTTGTATGTAAAGATTCTGAAGTAGTCAAGAAAATTAATGAGTTTTGAAGGGCTCTTCAGATACAGGTGTTATGAAAGGCAATTAATGGGATTTTTCCCCAGAAAGTCAAGGTTTCTTAATATGTTCTCTATAACTCAGGCCCATCAGGATGGATTTTTCCATTATTGTGAACACTCATTTTTGTCTTGGTTTGAACTTGTTCCCCATTAATGAAAGCCCCAGAGTAAGTTCTACACAGAGGAGAGATGTGCAGTTTACTAAAACCCAATTGTTTATACAACAGAACTTGCAGCTTCTTTAAATTCTTGATATGGTTAAACCAAGGCAAAAAGGGTCAACTTTAATTACTCAAGTGCTCTGTCTCGCATCGTGAAACCTATTAGACACTAGGGTTAAGGTCAGCATTGTAATTACCATAGCTCTACTGGAGTTGAAGAAGCTCTACTATTACACATAAGCTGATGATCCAGAACACATTCTAATTGAATTTGAACAAACAAACAAACCAACCAAAAAAAAGCACACCGCCAAAAAAGCCTACAAACCAAAACCTACCCCATTTGGCCTACCACAGCACTGACCATATATTTTCTAATTGGAGACTTAGAAGACAGAAGAGGAGCACACATTCACCAATGTAAAACATATTCCAAAATAGAGAGGCCTTTCAGATTTGAAATCTGATGCTTGGAAACAAGAATGAAAGACCCTCCCTAC